GAAAACTGAAGGCCAGACCAGGGGCAAGATCCACTCTGCAAAACAGGAAAACTGAGGTCGCATAGTCAGGTCCTGTCTATGTCACATGGCCAGACTGCATGACAGACCTGGATTTGCCATGATCAGATGCTTGGTCTGGGTAAGTTGGGCCCCATAGTGGTGTGAAGCTAGGGGAGCTACAGGGTTGTACATGCCGACTGCTCCGTTTCTTTTACATTGCTCATGCTGTAAGAGTCACTTCTTCTCATGGGAGAAAATGTGGAGGCTGAGTCCTAAATCTTTTGTCTCCATGGTAACATCAACCAAGTGGCTTCCCTTTCTCTGGCTCCATGATCCTCTGAAACAGGAGAGGAGTCTTAATTCTCCTCACCTCATTCATGGAGTGAGAACTACCACCGAAGCGTCCATCTCCCAGGGTATACGTCTCAGAACCCTTCTCTGAGCACAAGAACCACTGGTGAAGCCAAGTGGACCCTTGAGATTGCCAACTTGTGCTCCCTTAGCAGGTGTGCATGGTTCGAGATGGGTCAAGCTGGTTCTCCTCAGTACCCTGGGAAGCACTCAGGGCCGCTGTGCTTTATTACTGGATAGAGAAGCAAAGAAAACAAGAGAGAAAAGAATGTAGCCAACTCAGAAGGGGGCCTCGGGGCCTGCTGTCCTGCTTCCTGGACTCACCCTGTGAGGCTGACTTCCTGCCCAACTCCCATTAAGGACATGGCCCTGAAAGCTGTGTTTGAGAGAGCTTGAGAGAACCCCCCCAGTACTTTAAGCAAACATGACTTGTAAGACTTCTAGCCTCCAGAAATCCCAAGTATCTGAGAAGTGTTAAATGCAAGCTATTCATGAAAGTGAAGAGGCAAATAAAATCCTTACTTCTATGAATTGTATGGTCCCACCTACTCAGCTGGATTCCCTTCCTCAGAAAGGAGCCAGCTGGTGAGGCTAAGAGGAAGCTTACTAATATCTGCTTCTCTGCCCATGGGAATCTGCCCTGGCAGTGCATGGGGCTCTCAGAGAGTGCCTGGCCACCTTAGCAGGAGACAAGGGGTATTCTCCACCTCTGTTATGACAGACGGGGAATCTTAGAGGGGGCCAAGCCAGCACACAATAAGAAACACTTGCATTTCCCAAGGGATTAAAGCGGAAGCTGTTATACAGTGAAAGTTATACTTTATAAAGTGAAGTTATACAGTGAGATTGGGAAAAACAATAGGAAACAAAAGAGAAACTCCCATTTATTTAGAAGCCAAACAATGGGCATGCCTTCTCCCTCTTCTACTCTAGCCCCTCACCTGCCCTGTCCTGAGGTGCATGCACTGCCCACGGTCTTGCTCCCAACCTGATAGGCAGCTCCTGCACTGCCTCCCAGCCCAACACACAGGACACACACACAGCAGAATTCCTAAAACTCTTGACTCGCTTTCAAAATTGGTAAAGGAAGGTTTGATAGACCATTAGTGGTAGGTGCTTTATTGAATCACGCTCTCTGAAAAGTAGGAAATTCAATTGTAGAGACAGTATGCTGGATGACTTAATTAAGCTGATATCTCATCCTCCAACCATTCTGGACAATGGGGGTAACTTAATATCTAACTAACTAACCACATAACTAACCAATGGACTGGATGTTTACTGAATTACAAGCTACCTGCTCTTTATACTACCTGTCAGTTTGTTGTACTGTAGTGGCTTGCATGTTGCTATGATTCTGGAAGCTATGCCACTGGTATTTCAAACACCAGCTGGGTCACCCATGGTGGACAGATTTCAGTGGAGCTTCCAGACTGGGACAGACTAGGAAGAAAGACTTGGTGATATACTTCTGAATTTTAGTCAATGAAAATTCTGTGGATCTCAATAGAATGTTTTCTGATATAGTGCTGGAAGATGAGCCCCCAAGGTTGGAAGGCATTCAAATGATATAGTGGCTGCAACAATGTACCACAGAATGAAGATCATGAAGATGGTATAGGACTGGGCAATGTTTCCTTCTGTTGTATGTGGGGTTGCCATGCATTGGCAACTAACAACAACAAACGATTTGACACAATTAGCAACAGCAAAGCTTTTTTCAGAAAAGGGTGTGCTGCCTTATGTGGCAGTCCCTCCAATACCAATTTTAGGGAGCAATGCTCAGCCAGCTGAAGATGCCATGTCTGTAATCACTCTTCACAAGTCCTCTGCTCAGAGTTCCCCTCCTCACTGCTCAGACTCTTACTCTCAGAGGCCTTGGCCACACACATGCTGTGGTCATTTCTTTGCCCTCCTTTTTTGCTCCTTCTCCTGCCCATCCAAACCCCAAGGGTCTTTCAAAGCTGCCCTCCTCCTCCACAGAGCTTTTTCAGACCACTTCAGCCCTCACAGGGTCTCCACCCCTCATGATATTGGCAACCTGCCTACTTACCCTTCTCTGGGGTCTCACTCTTGGCTCCCTGCACCCTGCTCCCTCTAGGATAGATAGTCCACATAGCAATGCAGGCAGGCTGTTCCATCATAGAGGACTAGCTCTGTGGCTTCTCCCAATTTTTTTTCCCCTTTGGAAACACCACCCTTTACTTTTCTCCTCTTTTCTTCCCATTCGAGTTGCTTTTCTGTAGCTGTTTGGTTGGTTCAAAGGAAAAAGAAACAAAGGCATAGAACATAGCCAGAGCCTTTGTCCTCCTGGACACTCCCTCTTCTGATGCGTGTATGATATGTCCATGTGTGATGTGTGGTATAGAGTGTGATGTATGGTGTGTGTGTGTAGTACATGGTATGTATGGTGGTGGTGGTAGTATATGTGTAGTGTGTGTATATGTGTTCCCCTGAACTCTCTCTTTTAGACTGATTCTCTGCTATAATACTTGAAGTTTCTTCCACTCTGCTGGGTGAACAGAAACCAGACTCCACAGAACAACCTCGTGCAGGGGATCCGGGGAGCTCCTTATTAGGCCACTTGGGTGGGAGGCAGGCTTGGCACCTGAGAGGAAAGAGCTGCTGTTCCAGGATCCTCCCCTTCCTTGTCCTGATTGGCTCTTTTTTCTACTCCTTTGTTAGGTTTCTGGGCTGGAGCTCCTCTCTTATTTCACCTGCTAGGCCCCCCACCAAGACGTGCTTGCTCCTGTCCACTCCCCTTCCTACCTCCTGCTTTGGTATACTCAAAACACAAACATTAATGGGGCTGGGGGTGGGGACCCTTGCTCTACAAATATAGCCTGAACACAAGATTCTTTTAAAGGGAATAAGACATTGGAAGTCCACAGCTTTGTGTAACGTTTTCAGGCCACTTTCTTATCTGCTGTCTCTGAGTCTCAAAGTGCCCCTGAGGGGTTGGAAGGAGAGTTTTCATTACCAGCATCCAACGACTGTGGTAACTGAGGCTGGGTAGCCTACACAGCAGATGCCAAAGCTGGGATTAGAAACTAGGTGTCAACTCACAGCTCAATGTCTTCCACTGGGTCACAACGCCCTAAAGCAGGGTCAAAGTTACAGAAATATGATTTCTACAAAATGACTGAGAAGCCAGGCAAATCCATCATGAGTGCCTGTGGATTTCTGGGGTTCTGGGTGGCCTGGAGGGAGGGGTTAGAGGGTCCTTCCAACTGTGCACTGGTCCTGGAGCCACAAGCCACCTTCACCTCTAGAACGACAATCTGGTGGCCTAACCCGTCTCCCAGTGGAGACCAGCCAGGAAGGCCACTGTCAGAAAGCCACTACGTGCCCCCCGTCCCCCGCAGTTGCCAGGGTGACCTATGCTGTAGGCTGTTCAGCTTCGTCTTGCCCTAAATCCTTCTCCCTTTGCGTCAGTTGTGACTCCTCAGAGAGCAGAGGCAGTATGCACCAGCCTGACCTGTTCCCCTTGGAAGGGAAAATGCTGGCCAAGATTAGAGTTCAGCACCTCTGGGCTCCAAAATAAACAATAGTGGGCAGTGGCACATCAAATGGGACCCTACTGCCAAGCCTGGGATAGCACATACATGAGCTGTTTAGTAACAAGAACCAGGACTTCGAACTGGTTTAAACTGGTTTGAAGCCCTGACAAGAACAATGATAAGGAAGTTACCGATTGCCAACAGTTATCAAGAACATACTATGTATAGGCCCTGTTTAGGTACTCTACATGCCTTCTTTTTTTTTACTGTACATGCCTTCTATTAATTCATTAAATACTCATAACTACTCCATGAAGTAGTTATAATCACACATCCATAGTTCCTTACCCACAACCTTGGGGCCAGATGCATCTCAGGGCCTTTTGGAGTTTAGAAACGCACTAATGTTTCGAAGCAAAGGGATGAATATTCATACTGCTGTTGTTGTTGTGTGCCGTTGAGTCGGCCCCGACTCATAGCGACCCCTCCTTGGGTTGCCGAGGCAGTATCACTACAGAAGTAGATTGCCCAACCTTCCTTCTGAAGAGTGGCTGGTGGGTTTGAACCACCAGCCTTCTGGTTAGCAGTCAAGTGACATAGGTACTATGCTACCAGAGATCCCAATATTCATACTAAATGGAAAAAATAAAACTGCAAACAGCCTCACCTTTGTTCAGTTTAGGCCTTGTGCTCAATGAGTTTTGGCACTACCTTAAGAATAAACTTTCTGTTTTTCAGAACATTCTGAATCTAAGAATTTTGGAAAAGAGGTTGTGGGCCTACACAAACCTCATTTACAGATAAGGAAACCAGGTGCAGAGCAGTGAGCAGTGCATCTGGGAGCAGGCAGGAAGAAGGTACTGAGGCTGGGGTTCTAGACTTCCACGGGCTTAAAAATCCTCGGTGGTTGGTGAAAGAACAGTGCAGGGGACAGTTTTCCACATCTGGGCCCTGAGGAAAAGTACCCAGGAGGCCACCTGGCCTTGGCCAGCAGATTCCACTCCCAGGTCCTCTGCAGGGCTCTGGCACAACACAGACACACAGACTCAGGAGCTAGGCAGGAGCTAGCAGCCATGAGGATACTTGGTACCTTTGTGGTAGATGGGCTGCTAGCATTAGAGGGGCTGCAGGCGGCCAGGGTGGTCTCACCTCCAGACAGATGACAGAGCCCTGGTGCTCCTGGAACACCCGCAGCTGCGCCCCACTCAGGATGTCCCAGGCGCGGATGGTGGCATCAGTGCTGCCTGTGAAGGCTGTATGGCTGGGCGTGTCCAGTGCCAGGCACAGCACAGCGCCCGTGTGGCCCCGCAGTGTCTGGTAGCAGCAGCCACTGGCCACCTGCCACACCTTGGCTGTGCCATCAGTACTGCCTGTCACCAGCAGCCCCCCAGCCACATCCTCTTCCTTCTTGTAGGGGATGCCATGGAGGTCCCGGGGGGTAGAATAGGCTAAAGTCAGGACGCAGTTGTGGTGGCCCCGGAACTCCTGTAACATCTGTCCCTTGTCTACACTCCAGCAGCGAGCTGTCCGGTCGTAGGAGCTGCTGAAGAGCTGGTTGTCAGCCACTAGTATCCTGGTAGCAAGAGGGGAAGAGTCAGCGGTCAGATGGCTGGGCTGGCCACAGGGTTATACCTCTACTCTGCAGGTCCCACTGCCAAGGGTGCCTTTGGGTGACATCCTAAGTGTTCAATTGTCCAGCTACTGAGGAAGAACAAGATGCTCCTGGCAGATAGAAGACATGAATCTGAAGAAAGAAGGGGGTAGGGCATCCCAGGCCCCTGCATCAGGAGAAGACAGTGATGGGCCCCAGGCAGGAGACTCAGCCTCTGGGCTCTCTAATACCCACAGAATGAGACCTAGACTCAAAGTTTCCCAGTCTGGCCCCGAACATTCTCCAGCCACACTTCGTCCCACCCCTGCATAGATATCCTGCTCTTTGCTGGAATCCACACAGCCTCCTGTCCAGCCAGACTCAGTACAGCAGCTAGAACAGCCTCTCCCTCTCTCTACCTGGTCAGACTTGCCTTCTGAGTCCATCCCAGAGTCCCTTCCTCCAGGAGGCCTCCCTGAATTCAGTCTCACAGTTGTCTTCCCCTCAGCTGACTTCCCCTCACATGCTAAGTCCACATGTCCATCTGGACTTCACCCTCATTTGAACCAAGGCCCCAGGGAAGGCCTTCAAAAATACTTAGCCCTTAGAAGTTGCTCAATAAATGATGGGAAGTGGGTAGAAAAGGAAGAAGGGAGAGAAGGAGGTGGGGAAGGGGATGGGTAGGGTGACCATCTGTCCCAGTTTGCCCAGACGGAAAGGTTTCTGGGAATATAGCACTTCCAAATTTAAAACAGGGACAAACTGGGATGAGTTGGTTACTCTGGGCACAGGTCAGGTTCAAGTGGCTGGGTGGGGGTGTTTCAGATTGAGGACCCAGGAGAAACCCCTGTAAGTGTGCCCACCCATAACTTCCTATAAAGGTCAGAGCCCAAGAAGGGACGCAGGTGAGCAAGTCCTAAGGCCTAGTCTCAGAAATGAAGCTGCAGTAGAGGGCAGGAAGCTCTGGCAGGGAGTGTATGGCATGGGGTATAGGGCTAGTGTCAAGGATCTGCTGTCAGCTCAGAGCAGCAGAACCTCATGAGGGCTAATGTCTGGTGGCTAGACACTCAAGCTCCAGGGTTTCAAGCAGTAAATAGTCATGATCCTTATTCTCTGATGAATATGAAGGTGGCCTTCAGGAAAACCCACAGGAAAACGTACACAGACTCTTGCCTGTAGCTTCAGAGGGTTCACATTCCCTTGTTGAGAGCCCCTTTGCTTATAGGGATGCAAATAATCATAGGCTTTAAGGTCATAGCTGCAGCTGGTTGGTGTTGCTGGGCTGGGGGTGTGCCTGCTGAGAGAATTTTATGCGTGGGGACAAAGAGGCCCACCAAGCATCGGGAACCCAGCTCCATCTCAGTACTGGAGGCACAACTTGGCCTTCAGACTTCTCTGTGAAAGGCCTGGAAGAGGTCTGGCCTGGCTGCAGGACTCATGTACTCTAGGCCTTTGGGTTTTTAGGGCCCTTCAGACAATCTTCATTTTCACAAGGAACATGATGAACTAGGACTGCATCAAAGTAAGAATTATGCTTCTGATGACTGGCTTTTCCCTAGAGTTTCATGAGACATGCATTTCTAAAGTAAAATAGACACCAGTGGGTAGTGTTACAAGGGGTAGTGTTGTCAGAGAGGCCTGCAGGTGTGGCCTCAGAGCCCCTGCCTAATGCTCACACATCTGGGCTGGCTCTAAAAACTCAAGAGAATGTGAATCCTATACTCTCATCTCAAAGATATTGCACATTTGTGACCAGAGTTATAAATAATGTAAATATCTACCCAGTATGTGTGGAAGAGGCAAGGAGTCCCTTTTAGTGAGTGGCTTGAAGGTGCCCAGCAGATGAAGAAGGCAGGAAAACCTCTCCCTGACCTCCATTAGCCACTGTGACCTTAGGTCTCAGCTGGCTAACTTGCGCACTACTAGCTACTTCTTAGAAGTATATCTGGACTATTAAGGTTCAAATATGTATTCTGCCACTGTTAGACACACCCATGTAAACACATGCAATTTTTCCTGCCTTCTTCATCTGCTGGGCACCTTCAAGCCACTCACTAAAAGGGACTCCTTGCCTCTTCCACACATACTTTATTTTAATGACAAGTGTCTCTTTCAAGAAAGGCAGCAGGACCAGAAGAGGCCATTGTGAGCTGTAGGAGACCTGAGTTCTGTTCTGGTCCCTTTACTGTAATGCCTGTCTGCTTACCCTTAGGTGATCCTGTGCTCTCTGTGCCCCAGCTGCTGGGTGGCAGTGGCTGAGCTGGGCCCTCTACTGAAGTTTCTTCCAGACAGACTTCTCTACTCTTAGCATCCCAAGTCAGCAGAGTGAAGTCCTCTGGTTTACTGTTATTTTCTACTTAGGAGTACTCCCTAGCTCTTGCCTTATGGGGACTGCTCTTTGGAGGACCCTCTGCTCTATAGTTACTAAGATCACAGGTCTGGCCTAGCTTCCCATTCACTGCCCTGATGGTTAATCACCTAACCACTATAATTCCCTTTTCTCTCTGCCTGCCCCAACCTCAGCTGGCGGACCATCTTGTAGCAATGTTTTATGAATTCCTAGGGCTGTACTCAGATGAACCTCTGGCTGAATGCAGCGCCTTCTCGGCAGGAAGGCCTGCGGGTGGGGGCACCAAGCCTTCCCCTTGAATAGACATTCCCTCAGGAGTCTGACAGGGCTGGTCAAACCGCCCCAGCTAAATAAACAGTGTCAAATTGATCTGATCAGCAAAGGAATTTCTACTGCTCAGCTCAGACCAAAATTCAATAAGGAAAGGAAAAATCCAAAACTCCTTGAGAAGAGAAGGGGTAGGATACTTTTGACAACTACACAGAAAGAAGAGGTTTAAAAATATCCATGATTCCATCTTCACAAAACTCCCATTTTTCTCCTCCTCCACCTTGAGTCTACCATCAGTTATCAATTTAGCAATTAGCTAAATTGATGTGTCCATCAATGGGAGCAGTAGGCACTAAAGCCTTTCCTTACAGCCAGCAAAGGGCCGTGGCACTGCCAGGGCCCCCAAGGGTAATGTTGGGCACAAGTCAAGGTATTAGAGGTACTGCCATGGAATAGGAGCACTGGTGGTGCAGTGGTTAAAGCAATAGGCTGTTAATTGAAAGGTCAGTGGTTCAGACCCACCAGACTCTCCTTGGGAGAAAGATGTGGCAATCTGTTTCTATAAATATTTCAGCCTTGGAAACCCTATGGGGCAGTTCTACTCTGTCCTGTGGGGTTGCTATGGCTTGGAATCGACCTGACAGCAATGGGTTTGCCATGGAAGAGTAAATGAGTCATCCTGGTCCTCTGCTTCCCAAACTCCCACTGTATCCTGAGCATTAGCACTGTGTACTTCTGTTCTGGCCCCCCACTGCTGTCTGCTACTGACCACCTCCCCTGTATCCAGGCTTCCCAAAGGCAACACCCACGTCCTACACCTCTGTCTCCTCAGCCTTGCTGGGTGGTGAACCTGACTAGAGGCTGAGGCCTTACTGACTGACTGCCCATACTGACCTGTTCACAATGGATGTGTGTCCTCGGTAAATGGCCAGACACTGGCCAGTGAGCACGTCCCACTTCCTGATGGTGTGGTCAGCGCTGCACGTGAAGGCAGCTTCACTCTCCAGCTGACAGAAGGTCACATAGCTTTCGTGTCCTGCAGACAGGGGGAGAGGTGAGTACAATGTGCAGTCCACTGCTAGTCTTTTTTTTGGGAAGGTGTTTGAGAAGGGGAGAAAGAGAAGAAAGCAGGGTCAGGGAATGTTTCAGACAGATCCAGAGTCAAGGCTAGTAAAGCCTTTTTAAATGATGGTTTAAGTCTGGGAGACTCTCAAGATTCCCTGGATCCTTTTATCCCTCTTCTACAATACCAGACTGCTGCCTTTTATCCCTCTTCTACAATACCAGACTGCTGGGCAAGGAGCCTGTGGTTCTACTCACTGCCTGTGCATAAGTTACTTAACCTCTCTGTGCCTCCATTTCCTCATCTGAAATGGGGATAGTAACAACGGCTACCTCATAGGGCTGTTGGACAAACTTAGTCCAATGCTACCCACATAGTAAATGCTGTGTGTCTACTGCTTTTCTCACATTCGGGCATAGATACTGTGCTAGGCAGAGTAAAGGCCCCCAGAGATATCAGGTCTCAATCATACCTCAACTGTAAATGTGACTTTATTTGGACAAAGGGTCTTTGCAACTATGATTAAGTTAAGGATCTTGAGATAGGGAGATTATCTTGTATTGTCAGGGTGGGTCTTAAATGCAATCCTAAGTATCCTTATAAGAAAAATGACATGATTTTATAGGTAGCAAACCCCAAAGAATCCATTTTTTTTTATTAGAGCTAATTAATAAATACACCCAAATTGTAGGATACAAAAATGAACACATAAGAATCAATTTGATTTCTGATTATATTCAATGATAATCTGAAAAGAAAATTAAGAAAACGCTCCACTTATAATAGCATTAAAAATACTTAGTAATAAATTTAATCAAGAAGGTACACTTGTACACTAAAAACTATAAACAATTCCTGAAAGAAATGAAAAATCTAAATAAATAGAAGTGCGTGGGTGGTGTAAATGATTAATGCGCTCAGCTGCAAACCAAAAGGTTGGAGGTTTGAGTCTACCCAGAGGCACCTGGGAGGAAAGGCCAGTGATCTACTTCTGAAAAGTCAGCCATTGAAAACTCTAAGGAGCACAGTTCTACTCTGACACACATAGGGTTGCCATGAGTCAGAATCACCTCATTGGCAACTGTTTTTGTGACTTTGTGCCACTCTAACAGAAATACCATAGGTGGATGGCTTTAACAAACAGCAGTTTATTCTCTTACAGTTTAGAAGGCTAGAAATCCAAGTTCAAAGTGCCAGCTCCTGGGGCTGGGTGAAAACACCTCAACCTTGACCTTCAGCTCTGCCTCTTGCTCCTGGCCCACTGGAGCTAGAGGAGTCTCTTCACTCAGGCAGCTGCTGAGGCTAACAAGCCTAAGGTTCACAAATAAAGTCGCACAGTCCCAATAATACCAAACAACACAGCAGGCCACTCGTACAAGTCCAGAGACAGTTCGAGGATCGGCAGGAAAACGTTATTGTTATGTGCCATCAAGTGCTTTACTTATCCAAGGTCTCTTTCCTTTCCATATAAAATTAGTGATTGATTTTTCCATATCCCTAAAAAATGTTGACGGGATCTGAATTGGGATTGCATTGAATGTGTAGCTTGCTTTGGGTAGAATCGACATTTTCACAATGTTCAATCTTCCTATCCATGAGCATGGGATGTTCTTCCATTTATGTAGATCTCTTATAGTTTCTTGAAGTAGTTTCTTATAGTTTTCTTTGTAGAAGTCTTTTGTGTCCCTGGTAAGATTTATTCCCAAGCATTTTATTTTTTTGGTAGCTATTGAAAATGGTATTGATTTCCTTATTTCTTTTTCAGCAATCTCTTTGCTGGTGTAGAGGAAT